ACTGGGCTAATTTTTTATTTTCTGTAGAGACAGGGGACGGGGTCTCGCTGTGTTGCTCAGGCTGGTCTCAAACTCCTGGGCTCAAGTGATCCTCCCGCCTTGGCCTCCCATAGTGCTGGGATTACAGGTGTGAGCCACTGCGCCCGGATCCTAAAGACCTCATTTTAACACAGTTACCTCTTTAAAGATCTTATCTCCAAACACGGTTACATTCTGAAATATTAGGGGTTAAGACTTTAACATGAATTTTTGGGGGGATATAGTTCAGTTCATAACATTATAACTACATGGGGATAATTTAGTCACAGAAGTAACTGCAAATCACTTAAGTATACCTACTAAACCCACACTAAATGTATTGCCACCCAGCACAGTGGCTCATGCCTGTAATCCCAACACTTTGGGAAGCCAAGGTGGGCAGACTGCTTGAGCTCAGGAGTTTGAGACCCATCTGGGCAACAAAAAAATACAAAAAATTAGCCAGCTGTGGCGGTGTGCCTGTAGTCCGGGCTACTTGGAAAGCTGAAGTGGGAGGATCACGAGAGCCTGGCGAGGTCAAGGCTGCAGTGTGCCATGGTTGAACCAACGCGCTTCGGCCTGGGGGACAGAGTGAGACCCTGACTCAAAAAAAAAAAAAAAAATGTATTCCCAACTCCCATTGCCAATCCCAAAATGTCCATGGCTTTTCCATTGCCACCTGACAAAAGGAGACATGTGATAGAGGTGAAATCATAAATGAAAAAGACCTCAATCTTTTTTTTTCTTTTTTGCCTTTAAAATTTTTTTTTATTTCAATAGGTTTTAGGGAACAGGTGGTGTTTGGTTACATGGATAAGTTCTTTAGTAGGGATTTCTGAGATTCTTGTGCACCCATCACCTGAGCAGTGTCCACTGCAACCAATGTGTAGTCTTTTATCCCTCACTCCCCTCCCACTCTTCCCCCCAACTCCCCAGTCCCAAAATTCCATTGTATCATTCTTACACCTTTATGTACTCAAATAACTTCTAGGCTTAATTGTTTGTTAAACAATCCAACAGTAAAGATATACATCTTACCAGAAATGTCTCAGAGGAATAATTTGGTTACTATCTTTAAAAGTGTGAAAGCAACTAGAGGAGGAAAAAAAAAAAGTAAACTTTAGCTCATTTAAGTTTGAGGTTAGTCAAGAAATGTGAAATTATTAATATGCTGGGTTTTTCTACTGACTTCTACATCCATATTGCAGAATAAAAATTAAGATTCAAAAATTTCTCTTTTTTTAAATTTTTCTTTAAGTTCTGGGTTACATGTGCAGAACGTCCAGGTCTGTTACATAGGTATACATGGGCCATGGTGGTTTGCTGCCCCGGTCAACCTGTCATCTAGGAGACCTCAATCTTAACCAATTACCATTTAAATATATTTTGTCAAACTTTTACAAAAGCCTACAATTGCGTTAACACATTGCTGGGGCTCCTCCCATGCCTTGGGTGAGTCTGTGCAGGGAAGGACTCTGAAACTTTAGATTCCTTAGCTATAGAATGGGGTGTCCAATTTTTTTGCTTCCCTGGGGCCATATTGGAAGAAGAATTGTCTTGTACCTCACATAAAATACACTAACACTAATGATAGCTGATGAACAACAATAACAACAACAAAATCACACAAAAAAGTCTCAAAATGTTTTAAGAAAGTATATGAATTTGTGTTGGGCCGCATTCAAAGCTGAGCTGTCCTGGGCCACATGTTGAACAAGCTTGCTATAGAGTAAAACATGGCTCCGGAGGGTCAGCTCTGCTAATGTCTCACTCATGCGAAGGGAAAGAAAGCTTTCACTAGAGATGGAGCATTAACATATCTACAGTGAGGATGACGTGAGTCCCCATTCTTTAGCAGTGATCCCTGGAAGAGTTGGGGGAGGTTATTGTGTTACTAAAGGTGGGACCCTTGTCAGCCTGGACATCTCCCTTCCCTTCACTTCCCCAGCCCAGTCCATTCCATCCAAAGCTATAGGGAGAAGCCCACATAGGAGGAGGAGGCTTCAGCCTACATTTAGAACTGAGGCAGGAAAGTTTCTTTTCCCTTCCTTGGATTCCCCTTATTCCTAAATCTGTCTTCAATTCTGTCCCCCACTCCTGATTCTTGGCAGTATCTTTCTGAGACAAGAAAGGTAACTGGGCCATTCACCTTTTGTAATTCCAAGTCCATGATTAGTGACATCCAGAGTGACTCATTGAACCCTCCAGGGTCAGGTTTTTGGTTCCCACTGACAGTTCTTACCTGGCTTTCTAGTCAAACACGCATGAATTCCTCTCAGTCAATGCAGTCTCATTCATTGTTTGGATTATAAGGGAATGACCTCTCCACAGATAACAGAATTGCTACTGCTGCCTAAAATGTTTCACTTTTCCCTTCATTACATACAAACCAATAAGGCATTGCGGATAATCATGATTTATGAAAAGGTTTGTATATGTCACCAGCCTTGCTTCAAACCCTAAAGGATCGAAAGTGTCTAACCTTAAAGCTGATTTATATGTCTTTCCATTGTTTACCCCATGATGTTTTTTGCCAGATATCAGTTTGAAGGATGTGGGACTGGCTATTAGGTTGAGATTGTTACTAAGTGAAATGAGGGAGGAGAGGAGGCAGGGGCAAATACAGGGACAGCAACAGAAAATAGAGCTCAATTCCGCAGGAGATATATGATGCCTGGCCACCTTAAAATAGCTCTGTACCTTAGAATGCAGCAATGAAGAATACATTATGATGGCTTCTTGGAGGTATGTCAGGAGGCGGAGTGGTGAGGTCTGGGAATACGGGACAAAGTCTGAAAATGTTTTGTATTATATATACAGTGTTACATTACCTAAGTAGGCAAGAAGAGACTTTTTCAAAGACCAACATGAGAACAGAAGAGTCACTTCAGAAAAGATTGTTTCCAAGTTTTAGGCATGTTTACTAGAGAAAAGTTGTAATCAGAAATCTTACTGAGGATTATAGACTCGGGTCTATAGACCAAAAGCAAGCAGCCCTTTAGAAAGGTTCAGTCGGGTGTGGTGGCTCATGCCTGTAATCTCAGCACTTTGGGAGGCAGAGATTGGTGGATTGCTTGAGCCCGAGAGTTTGAGACCAACCTGGTCAACATGACAAAATCCCATCTCTACAAAAAAATACAATAATTTGGCAGTCATGGCAGCGCATGCCTGTAGTCCCAGCTACTAAGGAGGCTGAGGCAGGAGGATTGCTTCAGCCTGGGATGTCAAGGCCACCATGAGTGAAGATCGCACCACTGCATTCCAGCCTGGACGACAGAGTGAGACCCAGTCTCACTTCTATTTTTTTTAAATAGAAAGGTTCAGACTGCTCTGACGCTATTTTAATCTACAGCTTACATACAGGTGGTGGGGGTTCAGTATGTGCTCAGCAGTTACCTCAAATTTGCTCACAAGTTACATTAAAGCAGAATCACATAAAAGTTTGGGTGTAAGAGTACATTTGGTTATAGATTATAGAGGCAACATCCTTAACCCCGTTAGACGTCATCTTATGTGCAAGAAAAGGCAAGGACTAGGGTCATTTATCTTTTATTATTATTATTATTATTATGAATTTTTAGAGACAGGGTGTCACTCTGTTGCCTAGGCTGCAGTGCAGTGGTGCAATCATAGCTCACTACAGCCTACAACTCCTGGGCTCAAATGATCCTCCTGCTTCAGCCTCCTGAGTAGCTGGGACTACAAGTGCACGCCACCAAGTCCAGCTAATTTTTAAATTTTTCTGCAGAGACAGGGACTCGCTATGTTGCCTCGCTGGTCTTGGATCCTGGCCTCAAGCAATCCTCCCTCTTTGACCTCCCAAAGCATTGGGATTAGGTTTGTGAGCCACCGCTCCCAGCCCGTTTATCTTTTAGGGAATATAGTGACTCAGGCAAGAGACATGGTTGACTGTATGCCCTATCCTCTTTTGTCTTCAAAGGGTCTTCCCAGAGACTTCAGAGTCAGAGGCTTTGTGAAATTATGTTGCCAAGCAGAATTGAGCAAGTCTGGCTTCTTACATTTGTTACTTTGTCTCACAGAAGATGGGGAATCCTAAAATACAAATTTTGGCCTATAACTTCATACTGTGTGGGATACTGCTTTGGTGAAGTCCGTTTTATTGTCATCCCTTTCTTTTTGTAAGTTAAAAAAAAATTTTTTTGAGGCAAGGTCTCACTATGTTGCCCAGACTGGCCTCGAACTCTTGGAATCAAGTCATTCTCCCACCTCAGTCTTCATCCCTTTCTAGCTAGTGAAAAACAAATACTATGCAGAACTCCGGGTCCTCTTTTCTAGGGCAAGGAGGGGAGCCGGAGGGTCTGGTAGGTCCCAATGAGGTGACTGCTCCAGCACTTCATCTTTGGGAACATCGGTCTGGTGCCAGTTTGACCCGGAGAACGGCCTAAGTCGCCCGCAGGCTCCTAAGGTCCTCGTCTTTCCGGGTGGCAAGACACCTGATCCATCTCGAGAACAAGTTCCCGGTTGCTTTAGGCGCTTTGTTACTGCTGACGCTGCTGGTGGCGGTTGGGCTCTCGGCTGGGAAAGGCGCAGCTCGTGTGTATGGCTCGGGAGGGGGCACTGAAAAGGTCTTCCTGGAGGGCTTCCTTCAGAAGGAAACAAATTGGGAGTTGTTGGCGGTCCAGACAGTTCGGCAAAGTGCAGTGTCCCTCCTTGGGGAATTTCGGAAGGATCCTGGCCCGGTGTACTCCAAAGGTCCAGCGCCCATAGGTCGAGGGTAGGGGGAGGGACCAGGCACCGCAGCTTGGCCCCAGGGGACATCTTCCCTGCCCCACGCATCCAATAGATGACCCCAGCTGAGGCCCACGCAGCCAATAGCCGACTTCAGCCGAGACCCAAGCAGCCAATGGCCAGCCCAGTGCACTTCGCCCGTGCCCGCCCGCCTGCGCCCACCAATCAGGACTCGGGCCACCTTGGCACCGCCTCTGGACGCCCACCCCACCCATCCGCCCCGCCTCCAACTTGCTCGAGCAGGGCTGGGTAGACCGGCGCACTCCCGGGGGCGGTGTGGGGGGGCAGTCCCGGTTTCGGCCATCGCTCGGGTGGGCTCGGAGCGGCCGCACCGGGCAGCAACCCCACTCCCACTCGGAGGCCCCCTGCCCTCTCCCCCACTTCCCCCCGGCCCATGGTGCGAGGCTGGGAGCCGCCGCCCGGGCTGGACCGCGGTGAGTGATCCCCAGCCCCTTGGACTTCCCCTCCCAGCTCGTGTACGGTCTCCCACCTCTGGAGTCCCATCCCCGCGCTGGTGGGGGGAGAATTCTAGGTTCGAAGTGGCTCGGTTCTCTCTTTTTTCTCCTCTGGACTTTTCGGTTCCCTGTTGTAACTAGGGGAGGGTAAGTGTCTGTGTAGGGGAGGGCAAGAAGGTTGGGTTGGGGCGCCCTTGGCGAGAGTAGGATTGAGATTCGCCTGCCTCATGGGGCTCATCGTCCCAAGTGCAACAACTTTTTGTTCCCTGACCCAGTTCGGAGCCTTCTGGACTGCCTGTGAAATGGAGGATAGGAGAAACATTTCCTTCCCAGGCCCCCGCCCCCCCCCCGATGCCACACAAACCCCCAACCCCCATGGCTACCTCCTGGCGACCTCAACACACGTGCAGAACCTGGCCTTGCTTCTGGGGGATCAGCGGCCTTTGGGAATGAAAGGTTTAGAAGAAACTGCCCCTCTGATTCCCGTACCCAGCCATACTCAGAAAACCAACCAGGAAACTGAGAACCCGAGTCCTCTGGGGTTCCTAGTGTTGCGTCCTATTCCGAGACTCCTAAACTGAAAGAAGACTCAAGCTGAGACCTGTTTGGTAATGTGGGCCCAGATCAGGAGATTTTTTTTTTTTTTTTTGTCATGTGAGCCTCCTTCCCATCATACACTTGAAGCCCTTTTATATTACATGATTAGGTTAGATGGTTGTAATTGAAAAAACCAGATTGGGAATTTTAAAGATAATGCATACATATCTTGAACATTATAATTAAAAGTATGTCCATTTCACCAATCTTTTGATGTAGTGGTGAGACTGTTCTTGTGTCTAAGACTGCTGTTCGGAGTTCCCAATTCTCTTTCCAGTGTTAACTACACAGGGAGTCTCAAACCTGGCTGTACCCTGAGAACTTTTAAAAAAACTGTGGATGCCTGGACCCCAGTACAGACTATTGAATCTGAATGGGGAGGAGAGTGGCCTGGTTTTTAAGCTTCCCAGGTAATTCTACAGTGCAGTCTGAGATGAGAGCCACTCAGGCACTTTCATCATCTTTGATTTCCCGTTTTGCTTTATTTAAAGTGAAGTAAGAATTCAGACGCTTTTGCGTGCAGAGTACTTTTGAGATTAAGTCCCACTCCTCAATCTTTTACAGTTGTCTTGCTCACTCCCAACTCAACAATTTTTAAAATGCATACTCTTCTTTGCGTTATGTCTCTCCAAAACATTTGACTTAGTTTTCATAGGACCAATTTTTTAAAAATCAGTATTCCTGAAGGAACAGTTTTCAATGCAGTGATTTTTCATAGGTTTACATGAGGTTTAATTACATTATTATACAGACACTGAAAAAGTGTGGACATAAGCAGGTTTGTAATCACACAAAACTGGCCCCAACACACAGGACAACTGAATGAAGCAGATGATTTTGGTGCACTAGTAGTAGCCTACTGGCCTTTAGTTTCCAGTGCACCATGGTATTGGTCATGTAATCCAGTGGGTCAGTTAAGCCAGGCTCCTGGCCCAGGTGAGCATCCTTCCCTTCCACTCTTTCCAACTAATATCACAAATACCTTGTCCCTTCTAAACGCACTTGAATTCCTGAGTATTCCATCAACTCTTTACATTCGTTCACATCAAACTGTTCATCTTTAAGTGATTACCACTATTGCCTTTGTTAAGTTGGAAGGATATGAGGCAGTAATCCTTAACCTGGCTTCTTGGCAGTCACTAAAGGCCCTGAGTTTACTGTGTAAGTGTGAATGTTTATTTCGGGAAGGTTAGTCATAACTTTCTGAGGGTCTGTAACTTTTGTCTGATTCTCAGAGGTTCATGAACTAAAAAGTTAAGAAGCATATAAGCTGAATATCACTATACATCTTTAAGGCCCTTAAAACTGTATCCCCAAACACATTTCAGGAGTACTTCAGACTGCCTCTAAATAAAGATTTAGGGAACTCTGCAGGATCATATCTCATTTCCCACTTTATTTATTTATTTTTATTTTTTATTTTTTGAGACAGAGTTTCACTCTGTCCCCCAGGCTGGAGTACAATGGTGTGATCATGGCTCACTGCAACCTCTGCCTCCCAGGTTCAAGCGATTCTCCTGCCTCAGCTTTCCCAGTAGCTGGAACTACATGCGCATGCCACCATGCCTGGCTAATTTTTGTATTTTTAAGAGAGACGGGTTTCACCGTGTTGACCAGGCTGGTCTCGAACTCTTGACCTCAAGTGATCCTCCCGCCTCGGCCTCCCAAAGTGCTGAGATTATAGGCGTGAGCCACTATACCCAGCTTCGCCTCCCACTTTAACTGTCTCCTAATTTAACGATAGGCCTAGGTTCAAACCTAAAGTTCTAGAGTCCTCTTTTTCTAGGACTGTGTAAACACAGAAACTGGAAGTTTAAGACAGTCCATTCTTGTCTGCCATCTGTCCAGGGATATGGAAAGCCCAAGGGGAAAGAAGGGTGTTATACTGACTCAGAGAGAGAGAATTTTTTTTTTTTTTTGAGACAGAGTCTCACTGTCGCCAGGCTGGAGTGCAGTGACACAATCTTGGCTCACTGCAACCTCGGCCTCCTGAGTTCAAGTGATCCTCCTGCCTCAGCCTCCCGAGTAGCTGGTACTACAGGCACATGCCAACACACCCAGCTAATTTTTGTATTTTTAGTAGAGACGGGGTTTCACCAATTTGGCCAGGATGGTCTCAATCTCTTGACCTCGTGATCCGCCGGCCTCAGCCTCCCAAAGTGCTAGGATTATAGGCATGAGTCACCATGCCCGGCTGAGAATTTTTTTTTATTTTTAAAATTTATATATTTATTTGTAGAGACGAGGTCTTGCTATGTTGCCCAGGCTGGTCTTGAATTCCTGAGCTCAAGTGATCCTCCTGCCTCCCAAAGTGCTGGGAATACAGGCATGAGCCACTGCAACCTGGCCATGACTCCATATATTTTTATTAGTGATTTTTAAGTAGCAGTGGGACACATCTGGCATATTTAATAAGGATACAAATTTAGAAGTTGTTCAGAATAGATACTCACCACCACCACCACTACCTCCTCTGTGCTAGGACTCCTCACTTCAGCTTTTGATTCCCTTCTTTTTCTACTTAATCCAAAATGGACACACAAGAACACAAGATACTATAGTGTCTTTATTATGATTTTGATTACTATAGGGTCTGCCCTACTTGTTATAATTCTCATGAGCCATTCTGGTTATAGTTTTCTCTTAGTTCAAAGCCAGATTCTTCCAGGGAAGTACCAGCTATACAGCTGTGCCTTGATTTAAGCCACCACTCTGTTTCAGGAAGTGTTCCATAACTGGTGTTTTGTGTAAGTGAAAACTGGATGCGTATAGTACACCAAATATGTTGTTTTCAGTACTGTATGTTACACTGAAATATCAAGCTGATGCCAAGAATGTGAAGGACATCAAGCCACATAAATGAAAGTAAAATGCTTCCTTACAACTGTTAATACTTATAAATGTGCCTGCCTTATATTCCCATCTGGCAGTATTCATCATCCTCACACTGGACTGCTTTGTTCCTCATGCTTTATTTTCCTTATCTCTAAAGTGTTATTGTGTCTTTATATAATAGGACGCAAATGGGGTTAAGTAGATGTCAAGCGTTACCATCATAAAGTATTCTCCAACTTGGATTTGATGGTGTTCCCAGTGGGCCACAGTTTCTAAATACTAGTTTAGCACCTGGCCATGCAAGCAGTGCCTCCCAGGCCATTTCAGCTGTGTCCTGGATGAACCTGAAAGGGCAAAGGTGGAACTATCACATAGGCAACTGACATACCAATCACAAAGGATCCAAATTATGGAAGCAATTCTAAAGCAGTGGTTTTCATACATTTTTTTAAGCAATAAATACATTCTGAAATTGTATTTAAACCCCAAAATATAAAAAGCATAGAATCATAGATACACTGGTTTCCTCATCACTAGCTAGAATTAGGGCTCTGCAAAAATAGATTGAAAACAGTGATTTTTAAATGATTCAGTCTTTGTCCCAGTTACCCCATTGTCTAGGAGGAGCATTACTTTACATCAAAATCACCTCCATGAAGTTAAAGTCATGATAAAAGCTGCTATTTACTGAGCCCTTACTTTGTTCTAGTTACAATGTCAAGTGCACTTTTTCATTTAGTAATAAACTTGCTGGGTAGGTGCTTTTTTGCTTTTCTCTGTTTTTTTTTGAGACAGGGTCTCTCTCTGTCACCCAGACTGTGGTGCAGTGCACAATCTTGGCTCACTGCACCCTCCACCTCCCGGGCTCAAGCAATCCTCCCACCTCAGCCTCCCGAGTAGCTAGGACTACAGTTGCACCACCATGCCCAGCTAATATTTTGTATTATTATTATTACTATTATTATTTGTAGAGACAGTTTCACCATGTTGCCCAGGCTGGTCTCAAACTCCTGGGCTCAAACCATCTGCCCACCTTGGCCTCCCAAGGTGGTGATATTACAGGCGTGAGCCACTGCACTTGGCCCAAGGTGCTTTTTTTTCTGATGAGAAACTAAGGCTTAGAGGAGTTAAATAACTGGCCAAGGACAAGCAGCATTCTAGAAAGTGTAGTTGCATCAATTTGTCTCACCCTGGACATCCATCCCCTAACAGTTGCTCTATGCCCTGCCTATGCATAACACCTAGCACATAGTACTATTACATACTCTCTGCACTGTTACTTTGTTACATAGGAGGAAACCAGGCTCATGTAAGTTAAGTAACTTGCCTGAGATCACATAGCTGATAAGTGGCAGAACCGGGATTCAAACTTAGAGGCTGGCCTTATCGAAGAATTTCTATTTCTACCCGTCATGCCATGCTGCCTCCATTGACCCTCTTAAGGGGCTCTTCAAGCAGTATTGCTTTCAGGGTCTGCATGGCCTCAGTTGGTTAGATTTGCTTGTTAAAAGGAAATGGTGACATGTATTAAAATGTTTCTGAATTTTAAAAATCATGGTGTACAATCCTTGCTACCACATTGCTCTAAATTTATGGACTTGAGGTTTATTTTTGCAATTCATCATGTAGCATTTACATAGGAATCCTGTCCTATCCTTAGCAGATCAGGAGTAATACTTAAAAACACAGATGGAAGGCTGGGCCCAGTGTTTCATGCTTGAAATCCCAGCACTTTGGGAGGCTGAGGCAGGCAGATCACGAGGTCAGGAGATCGAGACCATCCTGGCCAACATGGTGAAACCCTGTCTCTACTAAAATACAAAAAATTAGCTGGGCGTGGTGGCACGTGCCTGTAGTCCCAGCTACTCAGGAGGCTGAAGCAGGAGAATCACTTGAACCCGGGAGGCAGAGGTTGCAGTGAGCCGAGATCGTGCCACTGCATTCCAGCCTGGTGACAGAGCAAGACTCCGTCTCCAAATAAAATAAAATAAAAACAGATGGGATTCCCCTAAGAGTAAAGGGTGATGGATGTGTTAAAGGGTCTCTAGTGCCCACGCAGGAAGCTGAGTTAAAAATTGTCAACAGAATATTCTGGGAAATAACTGAGCAGTTATTTCAGGAAAGAAGCACAGTCAAGGGCTATCCCTGCAGTACCCATACCCATAGCCCTGGGAGCAGTGTGCTGCTGGGTAGCTTGCAGGAGCTGCTTACAATTTATAATGAGCCTATCCACCTGGTCTTGAGAAGCAAGCTGGGCTGAAAAGATAAGCACAGGAGACCTTCTGCCCTGTGTAGAGGGGGCTGTTAGTGACTGAGGGAGCTCTCTGGGCTCCCTGGGGAGAAGCTGAGCTGTTGGAAGAGACAAAGGCTGGGGGAGGGGATAACCTTTGTTCCAAGGCTGACTTGGAGGAGGAAACATTCCCCTCTCCATTTTCACATGATATAAAGGGGTAGGGGAGTGAGCCTCATTTATCCCAGATCTCTGACCCATATCTCTCATCCAACCAAGAGATGGAAAAAATAAAGCTATGAGACTTGGGCTTAGGGCTTAAAGGTACTGTCAATCACCTTCCCCCAACACTCCACCACCAAGAAGGGAAAGAAAAAAGGGGGGCTGGGCAGAGGACAGTGCTGTCCTACCTTCCAGATATTCATCAGTTGTATTCCCAATCTATTGCTCCACATTCTAAATATAATTATAAATTGTTAGCAGCCAAAGAGTTAGTAACAAGCCAGGGACAATGGTGTGCACCTGTAGTTCCAACTACTCAGGAGGCTGAGGCAGGAGGGTCACTTGATCCCAGGAATTCAAGGCTATAGTGCATTATCATTGCACCTATGCATAGCACACCAGCCTGGGCAACATAACGAGACCTTGTCTCTAAAAAAAAAATAGTGGCCGGGCGCGGTGGCTCATGCCTGTAATCCCAGCACTTTAGGAGGCCAAGGCAGGTGAATCACCTGAGGTCAGGAGTTCGAGACCAGCCTGGCCAACAGAGCATTAGATAGGAGTTCTAAATTTCTCTTCAAAGAATCAATGTCAGTATGTTCAATTCTCTGCCTTCTACTTTTAAACTTAACTTCCTTGTAAAGCAACCTTTTTCGATCACCTGTTCCACCCTGACCCATTCTGATTGCCTGCTCCACCCTAACTCATTTCGATTACCTGCTCCACCCTGACTCATTCCGATTACCTGCTCCACCCTGACTCATTCCGATTACCTGCCCCATGCTGACTCATTCTGATTACCTGCTCCACCCTGCCTCATTCCGATTACCTGCTCCACCCTGACTCATTCTCCACCCTGACTCATTCTCCACCCTGACTCATTCTCCACCCTGACTCATTCCGATTTCCTGCTCTGCCATAACCAAACCACTCACCCGGTCACTCTCTTTAAATTAGCCAATCGGAATTAGTTTAGTCTGTGTGGTCTAACCCTAGCCAATAGGGGAATGACAGCAGCAGGGGCCACGTGTGTCAGGAGTAAGAACCCCTTCTCCTCCCTTGTCCAGGTGTGTGCTCACCATTACTCCATCTGTGAGGGCGCACCCTTCTATAGAAGTAAATTGCCCTGCTGAGAAGAAAAAAAAAAAGAAAATTTTATATTCGATTGCTATTTCTTTTGTGGCACCGAAACCTTATTTATAACAACAGTGAAACCTCGTCTCTACTAAAAATACAAAAATTAGCTGGGCATCATGGTGCACGCTTGTAATTCCAGCTACTCGGGAGGCTGAGGCAGGAGAATTGCTTGAACTCGGGAGGTGGAGGTTGCAATGAGCCAAGATCGCGCCACTGCACACCAGCCTGGGTGACAAAAGACTCTGTCTCAAAAAAAAAAAAAAAAAATAGTTATTAACAGTTCTGGCCAGGGGCCGTGGCTCAGGCCTATAATCCCAGCACTTTGGGAGGCTGAGGCCAGTGGATCACTTGAGGTCAGGAGTTCGAGACCATCCTGGTTAACATGGTGAAACCTCATCTCTACTAAAAATACAAAATGTAATAGGGCATGGTGGCGCACGCCTGTAGTCCCAGCTACTCGGGAAGTTGAGGCACAAGAATCACTTGAACCCAGGAGGCAGAGGCTGCAGTGAGCTGAGATCATGTCACTGCACTCCAGTCTAGGCAACAGAGCGAGACCCTCCCTGCTCAAAAAAACAAAACAAAATAAAACAAAAAAAAACAGTTCTCAGGGCCAGGTGCAGTGGCTCACTCCAGTAATCTCAGCACTTTGGGAGGCTGAGATGGGAGGATCACTTGAGGCTAGGAGTTTGAGACCAGCCTAGGCAACATAGTGAGACTCTGTCTACAAAAAATTTTAAGATTAGCCAGATATGGCTGCATATACCTGTAGTCCTAGCTACTTAGGAGGCTGAGGTGGGAGGATTGCTTGAGCCTAAGAGTTCAAAGCTGCAATGAGCCATGATCACGCCACCGCACTCCAGCCTATGCAACAGAGTGAGACCCTGTCTCTTGAAAAAACAAAAACAAAAATGTACACACACACACAAACAAGTTGAAATTATTGCTCCTCTTGTTTTTGTGGTTGAGTCTTCACTGTGTGATTCCTGTTCCATGAATTTAGAAGGTGAGAGTTGGTGGATAGCTTCTAGAAGTGGGTTTGAATAGGAAAGATGAAGGCTGTATCAGAGCTATGATGGTGCCACTGCACTCCAGCCTGGGTGGCCTGGGTGACAGAGCAATATTATCTCTTAAAAAAAAAACAAAACCCCACCAGCTGGCTGTGGTGACTCATACCTGTAATCCTAGCACTTTGGGAGGCCAGAGGCAGGTGGATCACGAGGTCAGGAGTTCAAGACCAGCCTGGCCAAGATGGTGAAACCCCATCTCTACTAAAAATACAAAAAGTAGCCAGGCGTGGTGGTGGGCACCTGTAATCCCAGCTACTCAGAAGGCTGAGGCAGAGAATTGCTTGAACCCGGGAGTGGAGGTTGCAGTGAGCCAAGATCGTGCCACTGCACTCCAGCCTGGCAACAGAGTGAGACTCAGTCTCAAACACACACACACACACACACACACACACACACACACTAAAAAAACCGTATCAGGATCAGTTTTCCTTCTTAACCTCTAAAGACAGATTTTTTTTTTTTTTTTTTTTTCTGAGACGGAGTCTTACCCTGTGACCCAGGCTGGAGTGCAATGGCACTGATCTCGGCTTACTGCAACCTCCGCCTCCTGGATTCAGATGATTCTCCTGCCTCAGCCTCCTGAGTAGCTGGGATTACAGGCGCTCACCACCATGCCCAGCTAATTTTTGTATTTTTAGTAGAGACGGGGTTTCACCATGTTGGGCAGGATGGTCTCGATCTCCTGACCTTGTGATCCTCCCGCCTTGGCCTCCCAAAGTGCTGGGATTACAGGCATGAGTCACCGTACCCGGCCTTTTTTTGTTTGTTTTAGATAGGGTCTCACTCTATCACCCAGGCTGGAGTGCAGTGGTGCAAGCATAGCTCACTGCAGCCTCGACCTCCCAGGCTCAAGCAGTCCTCCTGCCTCAGCCTCCCAAATTGTTGGGACTACAGGCACGAACCACCATGCCCAGCTGATTTTTAAATTTTTTGTAGTCTCACCATGTTGCCCAAGTTGGTATCAAACCCCTGGGCTCAAGCAATCCCTCTCACCTAGGCCTCCTGAAGTGCTGGGATTACAGGTATGAGCCACCATGACTGGCTTTAAAGACAGATTTTTTTCTTGGAACAACACTCACCAGTCATGTGACTGGGGGTAATTTAACATCTATGGACTTTAGTCCACAGAAAATTGGAATTAAAGCAGGGTCTGATGACTTGTTTATAAAAATTAAATAAGAAACTGTTGAAGCACTTAAAAAGCAATACAACATGATGCAAATAGAAACTTAATTGTTTTGGTGTCCAGCAGTTAGTTTGGTAGAAATTGAGCAATGTGTCAGAAGAGGAGACCCAGTGATTGAGCTGTTTCTTTTCTTATTACAGCTATCTCTGAAGGGCACAAATCAGAAAGCACCATGCCTCCTAATAAAGAGGCCAGCGGTCTCAGTAGTTCACCAGCGGGGCTCATCTGCCTCCCTCCAATCTCTGAGGAGCTACAGCTTGTGTGGACCCAAGCAGCCCAGACCAGTGAGCTAGACAGCAATGAACACCTGCTAAAAACCTTCAGCTACTTTCCCTATCCCAGCCTAGCAGACATTGCCCTTCTCTGCCTACGTTATGGGTTGCAGATGGAGAAAGTCAAGACTTGGTTTATGGCCCAGCGCCTCCGCTGTGGTATTAGCTGGTCATCTGAAGAAATAGAAGAAACTCGAGCCCGAGTAGTCTACCGTCGGGACCAACTCCATTTCAAATCCCTTCTCTCTTTTACTCATCATGCAGGACGGCCCCCAGAGGAGGTGCCTCCTCCTCCAATGCCAGCTCCAGAACAAGTTGGTATTGGAATAGGTCCTCCGTCTCTTAGCAAGCCCACCCAGACGAAAGGATTGAAGGTAGAGCCTGAGGAGTCCTCTCAGATGCCACCACTGCCACAGAGTCACCAGAAATTAAAGGAGTCCCTGATGACACCTGGCAGTGGAGCATTCCCCCACCAATCAGATTTTTGGCAACATCGTCAAAGCAGTGGCTTCTCAAAGGAGCAGGCAGGCAGGGGTCCCAACCAATTACATGGCATAGGTACTGCTTCCTGGAACCACTCCACAAGTGTCCCCCCACCACAAGCTCGGGATAAACCCCCACCAATTGCATTAATTGCCAGTAGTTGTAAGGAGGAGTCCGCATCTAGTGTTACTCCCTCTTCTTCCTCTACCTCCTCTTCTTCTTTCCAGGTACTGGCTAATGGAGCTACTGCCACCTCTAAACCCCTCCAGCCATTAGGCTGTATCCCACAGTCAGTGTCACCCAGTGAACAGGCATTACCCCCACATCTGGAACCAGCCTGGCCCCAAGGGCTACGGCATAATTCAGTACCAGGTAGGGTTGGCCCCATAGAGTACCTTTCCCCGGATATGCAACGCCAGCGAAAGACCAAGCGCAAAACCAAAGAGCAGCTGGCTATCCTCAAATCCTTTTTTTTACAGTGCCAATGGGCACGGCGTGAGGATTACCAAAAGTTAGAACAGATCACTGGTTTACCTCGGCCTGAGATCATTCAGTGGTTTGGTGACACACGTTACGCCTTGAAGCATGGGCAACTAAAATGGTTTCGGGACAACGCAGTACCTGGTGCCCCTAGTTTCCAAGACCTAGCAATTCCTACACCACCACCATCAACCCGCTCCTTGAATGAAAGGGCTGAGACATCACCTCTGCCGATCCCTCCACCCCCACCGGATATACAACCCTTGGAGAGGTACTGGGCAGCCCACCAACAGCTACGGGAAACTGATATCCCTCAATTGAGTCAGGCATCAAGGCTTAGCACCCAGCAGGTACTGGATTGGTTTGACTCTCGATTACCTCAGCCAGCTGAGGTGGTAGTTTGTCTAGATGAAGAAGAGGAAGAGGAGGAGGAAGAACTGCTAGAAGGTGATGAGGAAGAAGAGGAGGAGGAGGAAGAAGATGATGATGATGATGTGATCATACAAGACTGAGTGGGGAGCTGGGGGAGGGGAGGTCTGTTATGAAAAGATGAAACAACTTAGTAACTGTTTAAACAAAGAAACCACATTTTTAAAATTACCTTGTGGCAGAGAACTAAAAAGCTTTGTGTTCTTCAGGGTGGGTGGCAGGGGAATATAGTGAGGGTGGACCAGGGAGGATGACCATAGGGCACTAAGTAAGGCTGGGATTGGATCAGCAGAAATCCAGAGCTCTAACCTTAGTGTAGAGAGTGCTAAGGATCTGGGGAAACCATGGGCTGGCAAACTGCTCTTGCTCACCTCGTGTCTGCTGTTCTTTTCCCTTAGTGTACTATAGAGAGGCCAGACATTGGCTCCACCTCTCCAGGAGGATTGGAAAGGAGGAGTAAAGGATTCTGATTTGATTGATGATTCCAGTGCATCCCCAATCCCACCATCTTACCTGGAATATAAGGCTGCCTTGCACCCCGTTTCTGAGCACAAGTCTGTGCATGATGCAACTGACTCTTACTTTTTTTCTTAATAACCGATCATTTCCTAGACAACCAAGATTCTCAGTAAGTCCCAGTCTCATCACAAATATTAATATTTCCTTTTCCTCATACCAACTTGACTATGTTTCACCTGCTTCATGACTAAATCACAGGTGGCAGAATATTTTCGGGTTTTTTTTTTTTTTTTTGAGATGGAGTCTTGCTCTGTCACCCAGGCTGGAGTGCAGTGACACAATCTCAGCTCACTGCAAGCTCTGCCTCCCGGGTTCATGCCATTCTCCTGCCTCAGCCTCCCAAGTAGCTGGGACTACAGGCGCCCACCACCATGCCCAGCTAATTTTTTTACATTTTTAGTAGAGATGGGGTTTCACCGTGTTAGCCAGGATGGTCTTGATCTCCTGACCTCGTGATCTGCCCGCCTCAGTCTCCCAAAGTGCTAGGATTACAGGCGTGAGCCACTGTACCCGGCTATTTTCAGTTTTTATGCTGGGACCACTTTGCTTTGTAGTTTTTTCTGTCTTTCCAAAATCCTCACTCTGTTCACTGTTTGTCTCAGGGTAAATCTTCCCCCACCGAGCTTGTGAAAAACTTTAATAATTGGGTAGAGAATAATTTAGAATGGATATTTATTGGAGGTGGTAATTAGGGAAGACGTCGTTTTAAAAAGTAGAACTGTGTTACAAAGGGGTGAAAGAGGGAATAGTTTCCCCTTGTTGAAGGGCAGTGGAGGTAGGTTCCAGGTTTGGTTTTACAAACCTGATAACTACCTCCTGTCCAACTTGACAGAGACTAAATTTTCATCTTTTTGCTGTCAATTTGTTTCTGAAAAAGACTTTTTCCCTCTCTTTATAGGATCTGTCTTAGGGACAGAGGGACCATCGTCTTTAAGTGAATTAATTACTGATGTTTTAGAATGGTTTTCATCAGTTGGGATCAGCTATATGGCAAATAGGTATCATCAATGAGTTAACCATCTAAAAATAAAAGAGTGGAAGCCCTAGAATGCTAGAATAATAATAAAAAGGCCAAAAATAAAATTGTTTCTCTCTCATCCACTTTGCCACTCCTATGGTTTAGGGATTAATGGAACCAAATCCATTAACATTCTAACTCAGCATACTTTTAATTTATTGTTTGGAGGGGCAGGACTTATTGAGGTAAATTAAAAGAAGAATAAAAACTTTAAAAGGAAGTAGTTCAGCATCTGTCACCAGCCAGGTTGTTTCTCAGCCATCAAATGATAATGACTGAAATTTCTGAGGCTTCAGGAGTAACAGAGATACAACAATCTTGGAGGTAACTCCATTTGCTACAGGACAGGCTCTTGCCTGAAAGAGAAGGTGTCTAGAAATGCCTTTAAAATAAATTCAGAGTACCAGAAAGGGTATAGGGCTCCTAATTCAGATACAAGGTCGTTCCCAAGAGCTAATTTATTTCTGGCAGATGCCTGCTATTTTCTGTTTTCCCAGTATTTTTGCTTAAGGCCAACTTGTGAGTGGCTAACCTATTTAATTCCTCATTTCTGCCTTTTAGTACCCAAAGTAGAATACATGTTTGATCTCAGTGGTAGTGTTGTTTGCCCATTCCACCATTCTAGAACTTGTAATAGTGATAGAATTGTAGCAATAAAAGGGTGTCGTCTTAATTTTACTATCTATATACTAAACTGAAAATCAGTGTCTCCAACAGTTGTTTTCAATAGAAAGGAAAATTAGCATTTAATAGTAACTAAGCATAGAGGAAACAATAGGCAAATAGAAAATGTATAATAAGGACAAAGAACAGAGATGTTACTTGTTAACATTGGCAATGTGACAGTATATCCATAGCTAAAAATGAAATCCAGAAATGAAACAGTGATGAGTATATGATCCATCACAATCCCCATTCCCAACTCCCAACCAAGCATGATGCCAATAATTATTTTTATGACCTTTGTTTCAAATTGTAGGAAATGAGGGGAGCTACCAAGGTCTTCTGGAAGAGCTATAAACATCTTCCTGAAGCACTAGCATTTTGTAAGACCTGACCACTGTCCTGGGAGGTGATAAGGGTGAATAGGGTAAAGATGGAGGGAGCATAAGGTATAGAGTGAAACTAGGAAACAATGCAGGGATAAATTTTCCAGGGCCATCACCCCTAATGGGTACTGGAAGCTACAGTCTATCCTTCAGCAGTATGTATAGATCAGACCTTGAAGATGATCTATCTGGAAGTGGTCCATGCTTCTCTCCCACTGGGTAATCCCATCTGCCTCTGTTGTTGGTAGAGAGTCTAAAGCAGAGGACAAAAAGGTAGATGTGGGTGTTTATAACAACAAAAAGGGCAAGAAAGTCTCTCTGAACTCATTGTATGAAGCTTATCGAGACAGACACCACTGCTTTTGCTTCCCCATAGTTTTCTTCATTGCATGATAACTAGTTTTTCCAAACTAGGATTTACTACATCTAATGTGACAGTCTCTGGAACATTTCAGTGGCTATGGTGATAATAATAAGGATGAATATTTGAAAATTATTTTGGAAAATCTGGGACATATGACTACCACACCCAGAGATGACTACCAGGGAGGCAGAGTACTTAGGCCTCTGAGGAGGTGGCATTTCCTTCAATAACTTTAAAATTTTTTCACATTTTCAAACAATAGATAGAATAGTATAATGAACTCATGTGCCCATTGTCCATCTTTAACAAATAATTCATGGCCAATCTTTTATTTCTACTCTCCCACTGTCCCTCCCTACTAAATTAGGGATGCAAACCCCAGACATCATTTGACTTTTCATCCATAAATAGTATGTATCTATAAAAGTGAATGGCTATTTTTAAAAACATAACTACAATATCATCATACCAAAAACTCTCCAATATTAACAATTATTTAATATCAAATGTCCAATAGATAATTTTGTTAAACTGTCTCATGAATTGTTTTTTTTTTTTTTTTTTTTTTTTTTCTACAGCTTGTTTCAGTCAAGATCCAGTTAGGGGCCAAATATTTGTAGACGGTTTATTAAGCTTTTAAGTATTTTTTCCTCTGTAGGTTAATCCCTCCATTTGTGAGGATCTTAGGGAGGACTGTTATTTCCCCAGTGTTGCCTCTTAAGGCTTAGACACTAATTTCTTACTGATGAAAATAAAAGGGCATCTTGGAATATGGGAGCAAAATATATACCTACCTTAGTATGAAGGAACTGTCCCTGGGGACACCAGGAGCTTGGAGTGAAAAAAGGGCCTAAATATGCTCAAAATCCAAGCCATTTAAAAAAAAAAAAAAAAAAAGGCAAGACTGGACTTTTATTTTTTTATTTTTATTTATTTATTTATTTTTGAGATGGAGTCTCGCTCTGTTTACCCAGGCACTGGAGTGCAGTGGCATGATCTCAGCTCACTGCAACCTCCGCCCCCCAGGTTCAAGCAGTTCTCCTGTCTCAGCCTCTCTTGTAGCTGAGATTACAGGTGCCTGCCACCGCACCCAGCTAATTTTTGTATTTTCAGTAGAGATGGGGTTTTACCATATTGGTCAGGCTGGTCTCTAACTCCTGACCTCAGGTTATCCACCTGCCTCGGCCTCCCAAAGTGCTGAGATTACTGGCGTGAGCCACCGCCCCCGGTGACTTTTCATTTAATAGAACTCTTTACAAACCTTTCCTTGTTACCATGCCCTTTTCCTTTTGTTACTGGAATCGGAATCATAGTCCCATAAATTTATAAAATATTACTCTAGCTGTCTCTGGAGAAGTAAATGTGGTTTTTCCTAGTTCAAGTAGTACCTCTACCCAAAAGATATATTTCATAGAAAATACTTGATTGTGGAACTACTGAAAATGTCAGTGTGTCCACACTTATTTCATCCTGGCCAAGACCTCTCAGTTTAAAGCCTCTCACTAGCATGTGACTTCATTTTAAAACCCCAAACCAGGAAGCTAATCCAACAGTAGGATAAAATCTAGAATTGAGACCATTCTGGAAGGTTGTGAACATACAGTTACCAGAGTTGAAACTCATATCGTTCTTCACTGGTTATATTCCACTACCCTGAGGCATTTAGTGTGCAGGCCTAACCATGTGAGATTTTATGCACAGACAAGTTAGACTAGCCAGGTCTCACCTGCAGGACTGGAAGCTGGAAACTAGGAAGACTCTCTAGTGTGGTTCTGCTCTCCCTCTGAGCTGAAGGATAGAATGGAACAGTGAAAGATGACTTCCTTGGGCAGTTTCTCGGCGGTGTTACTTGTGGGTCAGGGTAACGAGGTAGTTCTTTTTTTTTTTTTTTTATTTTTTATTTTTTTTTTTTTTGAGACGGAGTCTCGCTCTGTCGCCCAGGCTGGAGTGCAGTGACTGGATCTCAGCTCACTGCAAGCTCCGCCTACTGGGTTCATGCCATTCTCCTGCCTCAGCCTCCGGAGTAGCTGGGACTACAGGCGCCCGCCACCTCACCCGGCTAGTTTTTTGTATTTTTTTTAGTAGACACGGAGTTTCACCATGTTAGCCAGGATGGTCTCGATCTCCTGACCTCGTGATCCGCCCATCTCGGCCTCCCAAAGTGCTGGGATTACAGGCTTGAGCCACCGCGCCCGGCCACGAGGTAGTTCTTAAAGGAACACTACTCAGAAGGGAAATACAATTATCAATTTAAGAAATGGGTTATAAAGTCTGTTCTTTTCCTGTGAGGACCAGGTACTGGCAGAGGTCTGAGATTTAACGATGAGTGGAAAGATAGGCAATATAAAGATTTAGGTGAGCTATGGAAGATGGCAGCCTCTTAACAAGAGGACTGGTGGTACCACCTTTACTGAAAAAGATGCAGAGAAGAATGGATATTGGCCTTATAATCCTCAGAACTGAGTGCCCAACATTTTCAATATAGGGACTTTTGAGAAGCCAGTTTAGTCCTACAGGCCAACCTTCTGGCTAAACAGTAGGACTCGACTGGTGACAGGATGAGTGCTAACCAGGCAAAACCCAGAGTTTCCCTTCACTCTGAAGAAAATGGGATGGCTCTTAAAGAATATTAAGGAGCCAACTAGAGACAATGCTCTTTGGGGGGCAAACCTCAACATCTTGTCATCTTGAAAATCTTCAGTTTAGTATATGTGCCTATAGTTGAAGCTCCATTCCTTTGGAAATGTTATTTAACTTACCAAAATTGTTGGGGGTGAGGACTCTTGTGTGGCCTGAATGCCCATTTGGGGATGGTCTGAAAGAAAAAATCCCCTGTCCAGAGGAGGCAGATGAAGGTCTAAGGAAAGGAAATAAAAGCATCAGCAGAGAAAAGGAAAGGTAAAAGTAAAAATAAAAAGCATATGTAATGGAAGAGCCTATACAGTTAGGCCAGGGAGGAAAAAAATCCCCTGCTTGCAACTGAGGATAATTTTTTTGTTTTTGGAGACAGGGTCTCACTCTGTTACCCAGGTTGGAGTGCAGTAGTATGATCATGGCTCACTGCAGCCTTGACTTCCTAAACTCAAGCAATCCTCCTGTCTTAGCCTCCCAAGTAGCGGGGACCACTAGCATACACCCACCAAGCCCAGGTAATTAGGTCTCGCTTTGTTGCTCAGGCTGGTCTCCAACACCTGGGCTTAAGCAATCCTCCCACTTTGGGCTCCCTAAGTGCTGGAATTACAGGTGGGAGCCACTACCTGGCCAAAATACAGTAATTTGGATGTATATTAAACACAGTGCTATCCAACTTCCTTTTTGCTTATAAGGCACATTATAAACTTCAGTGGTACAAGCCAGTGGAGAAGTAACCCCAGGACTGCTGGCAGAGTTCTGTTGTTTTTGTTTGTGTTTTTGAGACATTGTCTCACTCTGTCACCCAGGCTGCAGGGCAGTGACACCATCTCAGCTCACTGCAACCTCCACCTCCCGGATTCAGCAATTCTCCTGCCTCAGCCTCCTGAGTAGCTGGGATTACAGGCATTTGCCACCACTCCCGGCTAATTTTTGTACTTTTAGTAGAGACGGGGTTTTGCCATGTTGGCCATGCTGGTCTCGAACTCCTGACCTCACGTGATCCACCCTCCTCGGCCTCCCAAAGTGCTGGGATTACAGGCGTGAGCCACCGCACCAAGCCTGCTGGCAGAGTTTAAGTATGAACACATCCCAAGAAAAAGGAAGCGCAGTGTTACTCACCTGTAAGATAGGCTGTGAGTTGAAGCTGGTGAAGGGGTTTCTGGAAAGCATAAAAATAAGCCTATGAGATCACCCATGAACTGGAGAAGAGATTCAGGTATACTTGGGGCCAGGGCAAAGGAAATGGAGATAAAAGATTTTTAGTATATACGTTAGGGTTGGGGGCTAATGCCAAGTGAAAAAGCTCACAAATCACATAGCAGTGTCTCTTATAGGTGCTTTCCTCTCCCTTTCATGAGTCTGTGGACTGAGATCCCTCACTGCCTTCATGTGCTCTAATGTATCTGTGCCTTGGCTTCCCCTCTAAGATGGAAATCACCAGAAAGAATGGGTAAAGACAAAAATTAGTTACGAGTGACATCAACAAAAATGGCAGAGCAAAGACCTCCGAAAATTTCCTCCTCCATAAAAGCAATGAGAAAATTGGCATAATGGTCAGAATCAACTTCTTCAGAAATCTGGAAATTAACAAAGGGCTTGTAGTAATCTGGAGAATGTTTATTCAAGAAAAATAGCAGAATGTTAGTAAAAACAGCAAAGTTTGTGGCATTTTAACTTGCTTTATTGCCATTTCTCCTGCTCTGGCTCCATGGTAGCCTTGAAAACCAACAGGGCACACTCATGGTGAAAACCAACAGTCTGGCAGTCACTAGAGGGGATGGAACAGGGTTGGAGCTTTTTGAAGGACTCATTCCCAGAGAATTGTTATAATTTGACCTGTCTAGTGGTTCCCTGGAAGACCCCACTTTCAAGGTTGTCTTTATTTGACAGCACCAGGATTTGGAGCTCAAGTTCACCAGGACTTGGAGCTCAGAGCTTACCAAGTGCAGAAAAACCTTTCTCCAGTCTGTTGAAAACAATTAGAAGCACTTGTTTGGCTGCCTAAGGAGATAAATATCAGCTGGGACAAAGAAAAGGCTAATCAAAAAGCATGACATATAGAAAACAAATAACAAAATGCAGAAATCAGTCCTTCCTTATCTGTAATTACACTAAATGTAAATAAATTAAAAGGCAGAAACTGGCAGAACAGATGAAATAAAAAACAAGTCCGGCCGGGCGCGGTGGCTCAAGCCTGTAATCCCAGCACTTTGGGAGGCCGAGACGGGCGGATCACGAGGTCAGGAGATCGAGACCATCCTGGCTAACACGGTGAAACCCCGTCTCTACTAAAAATACAAGAAAATTAGCCGGGCAAGGTGGTGGGCGCCTGTAGTCCCACCTACTCGGGAGGCTGAGGCAGGAGAATGGCGTGAACCCGGGGGGGCGGAGCTTGCAGTGAGCCGAGATCGCGCCACTGCACTCCAGCCTGGGGCACAGAGCAAGACTCCGTCTCAAAAAAAAAAAAAAAAAAAAAGAAAAAACAAGTCCAACTATACACAGTCTAGAGGAGACTCACTTTGGATTCAAAGATGCATATAGGTTGAAAGGAGAAGGATGAAAAAATATATTCCATGCAAAAAACAGTGAACAAAAGAGTGGCTATACTAATATCAGACAAAATAGACTTTAAGACAAAATTGTTGGGCCAGGCATCGTGGCTCATGCCTGTAATCCCAGCACTTTGGGAGGCCAAATCCGGCAGATCACTTGAGGCCAGGAGTTTGAGACCAGCCTAGCCAACGTGGTGAAACCTCGTCTCTACTAAAAATACAAAAATTAGCCATGCGTGGTGGCACATGCCTGTAATCCCAGCTACTCAAGAGGCTGAGGCACGAGAATCGCTTGAAGCTGGGAGAAGAGGTTGCAGTGAGCCGAGATTTTGCCACTGCACTCTCCAAGAGGAGAGTGAGACTCTGTCTCAAAAAAAGAAAAAAAAGTTACAAGATACAAAGGCATTAAATAATGATAAAGGGGTCCATTTATATCAAGAAGAGAAACATTTATATATGCATCTAACAACAGAGTCCTAAAATACATTAAGCAAAAATTGAGAATTGAAGAGAAAATAAGACAATTTGACAATAATAAGGACTGGCATGGTTGCTCATGCCTATAATCCCAGCACTTTGGGAGCTGAGGCAGGAGTATCGCTTGAGCCCAGGAATTCGAGACCAGCCAGAGCAGAACAGGGAGACCTCATTTCTACAAACACAAGAAAATTGAAATAAAAAATCTAGCCAGGTGTGGTGGCACATGCCTTTTGTTCTAGCTACTCAGGAGGCTGAAGTGGGACTATCGCTTGAGCGTGGGAGGTGGAGGCTGCAGTGAGGCACAATTGTGCCACTACACTCCAGCATCAGCAACAGAGCGAGACTCTGTCTCAAAAAAACAAGAAAACAAAAAACCAAAAACCACAATAATAGTTGTTGACTTTAATACCCCACTTTCAATAATGGACAGAACAACTGGACTGGATCAGCAAGGAAAGGAAACAGAAGCGTACTAATTGAACAACACGATATACTAACTAAACCTAGCAGACTCTATAGAATACACCACCCAAAAATAGTAGAATATACATTCTTCCCACATACACATGGAGCATTCTCCAGGATGGACCACATGTTATGTCATAAATTTAAAAGGATTTAAATTACTGAAAGTCAAAATCAATAACAGGAGGAAATTTGGGAACTTCACATATGTGTAGATATTAAACAACACATTGATAAACAACCAATGGGTCCAAAAGACAAAAATCACGAGGGACATTAAAAAATACTTTGGAATGGGATCGGACGTGGTGGCTCATGCCTGTAATCCCAACACTTTGGCAGGCTGAGGTGGGCAGATCACCTGAGGTGAGGAGTTGGAGACCAGCCTGATCAACATGGTGAAACGCCATCTCTACTAAAAATACAAAAATTAGCCAAGTGTGGTGGCGTGAGCCTGTAGTCCCAGCTACTTGGGAGGGTGAAGGCAGGAGGTGGAGGTGGCAGTGAGCTGATAAGGCGCCACTGCACTCCAGTCTGGGTGACAGAGTGAGACTCCACCTCAAAAAACAAACAAACAAACAAACTTTGGAATGAATGAAAACAAAACACAGCATGCCAAATGTTATAGGATGCAGTGAAAGCAGTGCTACAGTGAAATTTATGACTGGAAACATCAATAGTAAAAAAGATCTCAGATCAATAATCGAACCTTCCACCTTAAGAAACTAGAAAAAGAAGTAAATCCAAAATAATGAGAAGGAAACTGACTAAACCAGAAGTAAATGAAACAGAAAATAGAAAAAATAATACAGACTCTCAACAAAACGAATTCTTTGAAATGATTGACCAAAAAAAAAAAAAAAGAGGAAAAGACTCAAATTACTAAAATTAAGAATGAAAAAGAGAACATTGTTGTTACTAACCTGAGAGAAATAAATTGTCTAGAACATCTATGTTTTTCAAAGGAGTGGGAGATTTCAAATGTGGGAGATTTAGTGGGAGACTATTTAGAGAATTAAAGAAAAGATATTTGGGGATTTCAAATGATTTCTTGTGAAAGTCCTCTCTGATACATATTCTTTAGGTACTGGTTAATGCCCTTGAAAATGGTAACAACAGTAATAATTTTAAGGGGCTTTAGGTAAGAAATTAAGTAAGCAGACCCAAAATATTCCTTCACTGGAATATTTTTATGTTTAAAACACAGCAAAGAAGCCAGATACCCTTCAGGCCAACAATCGGCATCTTGTGAACCTTCTTTTTATACTTAGCTTATAATGCCATCTTGTGGCAATTCAAAAAAATCCAAGTCAATTTTACTGAAAAGTTATCCTCCATCTCCTAACCAGAGGTTTTCAATGAGTTTCTATCACTCAAATCTTTATTTTCCCCTTATTAGTTGGAAAACAAATATCATTATTTGAAAAATTTGTAACGTATGTATGGATACATGGAATCACTGTCTGGAAAAAAAACAAGTGAAATGGCATTATATTATGCATAGAAAACCAGAAATCTGCAGATCTCTGCATAGAGTAGGTTGATTTCTGACACTCTTTCCCCCCCACCTCACCATTATAAGAGTCTCTGGGAGTTCTCCGTCCCTGCAGACCTCTGCCTCCCTGATAGACAAATAATAAGCATCAATTAATAAATATATCTCAGTTATCTGGCTTCCCTATTCCCTATTTATCTATAGCTACACATTCAAGCATATATTGTTCTACTACAGTGGGCATACTAGTCTAAGAAAGATCCATACTTCACTCCTTCCAAAATGAACACCATGGACATTGTTGATTCAGTCCTTAAACACTTTCACTATTTCCACCCCTATTTATTCTCTGTCAGTTTCTAACATCAGGTCTCCATTGCCAGAAGAAAATAGGGTCCAGTAAGACATCAGATAATTTATGCCAAAACCAATATAAATTTAAGTTCTTGATAAACCTTTGCTTTCATTTAGCATTAGAAACTTCAATCTGAAAGATAAGGTGAACATTACTTACTTGTCCCAAGCCACCAAAGCCAGCCTCTCTATAAGGAATAGATTCCGCTGAGGAGGACCGACTGTATAAGGTGAAACAAAAAGAAAAAAAAGGCAAAAACCTAGTTTTACTTGTTATTGTTGTTGTTTTTTTGTTTTTGTGTTTTTCAGACACAGTCTCGCTCTGTTGCCCAGGCTAGAGCACAATGGCATAAGCTTAGCTCACTGCAACCTCCACATCCTGGGTTCAAGTGATTCTCATGCCTCAGCCTCCCAAGTAGCTAGGACTACAGGCGTGTACCACCATGCCTGGCTAACTTTTGTAGTTTTAGTAGAGACTGAGTTTCACCATGTTGGCCAGGTTGGTCTCGAACTCTTGACCTCAAGTGATCCACTCGCCTTGGCCTCCCAAAGTACTAGGATTACAGGCGTGAGCTACTGTGCCCAGCCTCAAAAAAACCTAGCTTTATATGTTATTAGAACACAGAACACTTGTTGTTTTTTGGGGAAGGGGCATATGCCACTAATAGAAAGTCTCCGAAGCTGGATTGATGCGAGGAAAACACCTTCCCCTTCTAGTTCTGAGAGACTTCCTCTTGGCTCCCAGAAGGAGGGATTCTCTGACTTTGACACACATGGCCACCTTGGCACAAAAGCCTTGTGGTATTAAAAAACAAATTCGTTTTTATGTCCTCTTCTCCCTTTCCATCTTTCAGCATAGACTTAACTCCCTTAAGCCCAGACATCTGTTGGAACCTGACCCCTAGTCATTGATTACCAGTTTGTCAGGCAATCTGGACTTTCCAGTGATGCCACTGAGATGGCATCTGTCAAAAGAGCAGTGGTTCCATTTCTAGATTGTGGATCTTCAGAAAAATTCTGCCATTTCCTTTTTTTTTTTTTTTTTGAGACGGAGTCTCGCTCTGTCACCCAGGCTGGAGTGCAGTGGCGCGATCTCGGCTCACTGCAAGCTCCGCCTCCCGGGTTTACGCCATTCTCCTGCCTCAGCCTCCCGAGTAGCTGGGACTACAGGCGCCCGCCACCTCGCCCGGCTAATTTTTTTGTATTTTTTTTAGTAGAGACGGGGTTTCACCATGTTAGCCAGGATGGTCTCGATCTCCTGACCTCGTGATCCACCCGTCTCGGCCTCCCAAAGTGCTGGGATTACAGGCTTGAGCCACCGTGCCCGGTCAAATTCTGCCATTTTCATTTCACTTCCTGAAAGTCAGGGTTGGCTTGTGAAAAGTTGTTAAACAATATGCTAAATGTGAAACGTCAACCCTCACTCTAAACTTTCCCTGTTCAGAGCATGAGATGAAGATTTCATTGGGATTTATAGTGGCTTTCTGATTTTTGGTAGTCCATTGAAGAAGGGAGTTTGAAAGTTGTTGTATACTGTTAATGATTGTCTGCCCATGTCCTGCCTGAAATATCATGATCGTTTATGGATAGTATCTTTAATAAAGCTGGATACAGTTTGGCACGGGAAAAAAAAAACAAACCCTAGCTTTAAACTTCTACATAGACCTAAAATTTTATCAGTCCCAATCTGAGCTACAACTAGATATTTCTTTTATCTTCCAACTTTTGCCAACAGTTTTAATGTTGCTGTGTAAGCTTACCTGACCACTTGACTGCTATGCTGGAAGCTGGGCCGTGGGGTAACTGAAAGAGAATAAACTACAGAATAAAAAAATTGCCATCAATCGTGCACCTGCCTTGCCTGGCCAATTTGTTGTGCATGATTATCTGGTGATATAATGTTTTCATATTATACATAAAGTTAGGAAGATCACATTATTGTCTCTGAGAGGAAACCATCTTCTACATAAGGAAAGGATATTCATCTCACACAGATATTTAGGGGAAAAGTGTTCTCCACCTGACTGTGATGGGGAAGTAATGCCCACTGGTCGAGGTGTGGTTGACCTGCAAGGAAAAAAAAAAGAGGTGGCTCTAATCTCTCTGGGCAGAGGTTAAGTGCAACTTTAGAGGATCAATCAGATCACTGTTTATAGAAATAATAGCTTCCTCTCTGAGCACAAACTGCTTACTCTCATGTATCATAGGTAGCATCCTGAAATATGGAAGCAAAGTTTCCACATAAAACCCGTTGCTTTCCAACTCCCTAATTGGAGCTTTCTCCACCCCTGTGTTGCCTATAATAGAAGCTTTAAAGTACACCTTTCTTCCCTCCTCAGTGCCTTATCAAGTACTCTCAACCATACATCTATCCACCCATTCATACATCCCTCCATTGTCTCATCCACCTTAAGAAACTAGAAAAAGAACTAAACCCAAAATAACCAGAAAGAAGGATGCCATCCAACGAGCATATATTTGGGTCTATATTTCCTAGATCCTGAGATTACAAAAATACCTAGAATAACTGAGAGGCTTACAGGCTAGTGGGAGAGATTTAAAAAAAAAAAATCAGAGCAGTGTTTAAGTGTTGTAATGGGCTTATCAGAAGAACAGAAGGACAAAACAACAGTAGATGGTAGCTTCTATGAATGTAGGACCGTGTCTTTTTAATCCATAATGCAGGGCTGATATTAAAATATATATAAATATATATATACACACACACACATATATATATAGATTTTTTTTAATTGTTTGTTTTGAGACAGAGTCTCGCTCTGTCACCCAGGCTGGAGTGCAGTGGTGCAATCTCTGCTCACTGCAAGCTCTGCATCCCCAGGTTCACACCATTCTCCCGCCTCAGCCTCCTGAGCAGCTGGGACTACAGGTGTCCGCCACCACACCCGGCTAATTTTGTTTTTGTATTTTTAGTAGAGACAGGGTTTCACCATGTTAGCCAGGATGGTTTCAATCTCCTGATTTCATGATCCGCCTGCCTCGGCCTCCCGAAGTGCTGGAATTACAGGCGTGAGCGACCATGCCCGGCCGATACTAAAAATATGTTTAAGAGTTGGTAGATGGCCGGGCCGGTGGCTCAAGCCTGTGATCCCAGCACTTTGGGAGGCCGAGACGGGAGGATCATGAGGTCAGGAGATCGAAACCATCCTGGCTAACACAGTGAAACTCCGTCTCTACTTAAAAAATACAAAAAACTAGCTGGGCGAGGTGGCGGGCGCCTGTAGTCCCAGCTACACGGGAGGCTGAGGCAGGAGAATGGCGTAAACCTGGGAGGCGGAGCTTGCAGTGAGCTGAGATTGGGCCACTGCACTCCAGCCTGGGCGACAGAGCGAGACTCCGTCTCAAAAAAAAAAAAAAAAAGTTGGCCGGGCGCAGTGGCTCAAGCCTGTAATCCCAGCACTTTGAGAGGCCAAGACGGGCGGATCACGAGGTCAGGAGATCGAGACCATCCTGGCTAACACGGTGAAACCTCGTCTCTACTAAAAAACAAAAAACTAGCCCGGCGAGGTGGCGGGCGCCTGTAGTCCCAGCTACTCGGGAGGCTGAGGCAGGAGAATGGCGTAAACCCGGAAGGCGGAGCTTGCAGTGAGCTGAGATCCGGCCACTGCACCCCAGCCTGGGCAACAGAGCAAGACTCCGTCTCAAAAAAAAAAAAGAGTTGGTAGAGCATATATATCACTAATTAGAAAGGACCGGTAGCATATATCCAGCCCATAACATAGTACCTGATAAACAGTAGGCACTTAATATTTACTGAATGAATGAATAGACCATCTAATTCCACCTAATGCAGTCTTCACAGAGGAAATGACTGAGTTGAATTTTTAAGGATGAGTAGTGTAAAAAGTAAAGTAGAGGTTCCTCTTTAAAGGCTTTCCTCTTCGTCTAATTAGGAATAAACAGTAACTTCTCTTAAAAGCAAAATTTATTTAAAGACCTGTACTAACATTCTTAAATATCTGCTAGCCATAATAAAGAAATCAATGTACTTTATGTTCTTAGCTGCCACAACTTAGCCTAAATATTTGCCCTGGTACACTTACATTGGTCCAAGCAAGCCTTAGGTTATAGCCTGTTCCTTCCTTATTTGAAGATGTTTTTACCTTTCTCAGCATTCCACAAGTTACTTCCTCCTTCCTTGGTTCTCCTCTACCTTTGCCTCTTTTAAAAAGTTCTAAGTTGTTAGCCAATCGGAACACATACAGAATGTGAGGTCCCGTTCCAGCCAATGGAAACCGGACACAGCAGTAAGGTAGATGCGTCAGGTTATAAATGACCCTGTCTCCTTTGTTCAGTGTAATCTTGCTGGCGAGTGTACCCTTTCTGCAGGAAGTAAAAATGTCCTTGCTGAGTAAATTAAATTTATGTTCAAATGCTATTTCTTTATGGCACTGAGGAACCAGCATTTCAAACAGTAGTATTTCATAAGATGACAGTCAAGGGTGAGCATTATAATTAAGATTTTACTTCGGCACTTTCAATAACTCTTTCTTGCAGAAGTGAAAGCCAAATGCATTAACCATTTTCTCTCTCTCAGAGTTCACACAGCCAGGAGTCAAGAAAGAACAGGAGTTTTCAGGGGGTTGGGTTAGTATGGGAGCTGATAAAACTGACCTGCTTCCTTGGTACCGACTTGGAGATTCCTATAGGTGAAAAAACCAGGAGTGAAGAAGGCTACAACTGAGGATCCTAATCAACAGATCTTCAGTCTTACTTGCTCGCTAACTAAGCTCAGTGCCCCTTAGTCATGGTTGCTAAGATTCCCAGTAGGAGGAAAAGTAGCAGCAGTATTTCCTTAGGATATTATTAGCTTTGAGGAGATAAAATTTTAGTTCTTTGTAAGAGTGCATAGGGAATCCCATAGACTAACATAAGTGGGGAAATATGGAGTCTCTGGGGAGACAAAGGAAAATGACACACTACAATGTGCTAGAATAATTACAGGAGTGGAATCAATAGGAAAATTATATAAATACACAGAATATTCTTAGGAAGAAAAACTATTTAGGAAGTAGAGTGTGATGCAGAGGAAGCGTCCTGAGGTGTCTTGAGTTTCTCGAAGAGAACTTTTTAAGTTGCAACAGCTGTTTCTTCTATAAGAGAACTTTCCAACTCACTGATGTTCATGACTCACTGATGTTCAGGAATGGGTTACAAGTGTGCTATAAGTTGATCCTTTCTGTCCCCCAAGGTCTGCTGAGACCTCATCCATTTACTGTAGAGCGCTTATTGTACAAATATCAATTTCTGTGTGTGCCATGATGAGAAAAAGATTAGGAAACACTATTCTATATAATCAGCTAGATAGATGAGAAAAGTAAGAGAGAAAATAATAATAAGGAAAATCTATTTCATTCACCTTTAGAATGGCTAGAAATTTCTTCAGTTCTCCATTCTCCTTCCTTAAGACTGACAATTCTCTAGGCAAAAGATGGAACCAATCAGCTGCAGCAAATCAGGGATTAAAAACCTGATTTTTTTATTATTATAACTATTAACATTTAGTTAATACTTATTGAGAAATGCTTGCAGCTATACAAGCTATTTCTATCAGGAATTTGGTGATTCAAGGAGACAATGGCAGGGTTTTGATAATGAGAACAATTAGGTGGACAAAATAAGCAATTACTTGGTATGATTTCAGGGGAATTTGCAAAGAATTCCATTTCCTCCCCTCCACACACACACCCCTCGCCTGCTGATGTCTAAAAATTTTTATTAAGGATTCCATCTTGTGGTTGCTTTGGCAGCACATACACTAAAATTGGAACAATACAGAGAAGATTAACATGGCCCCCAAAGAAAGTTAACATGTAAATGCTTGAAGCATTCCATAAAATAATAATGATAATAATAATAAACTTTGAAAGAAGAGAAAAAAGGATTCCAGACCAGCTTGGACAATATGGAGAGACTCCTCTCGACAACAAAAAAAAAATACAAAAATTAGCCAGGCACGGTGGCGTGCTCTTGTAGTCCCAGCTACTTGGGAGGCTGAGGTGGGAGGATCACTTGAGCCCAGGAGATTGAGGCTACAAGGAGTGTTATCGGTGTGAATCAGCTATATCTGACTTCTCAAGGAAGCAGATTTTTTTTTGTTTTAGTTTTTGAGACAGTGTCTCACTTTTTCACCCAGGCTGGAGTGTAGTGGTGTGCTCATAGCTCACTGTAACTCAGACTCCTGGGCTCAAAGGATCCTCCAGCCTCAGCCCAAGTAGCTGGGACTATAGGTGTGAACCACCATGTCTGGCTAATTTTTTATTTAAAAACTTTTTTTTTTTTTTTTTTTAGAGTCTCGCTATGTTGGCCAGGCTGGCCTTCTCCTGGCCTCAAGTGATCCTCCTGCTTCGGCCACCCAAAGTGCTGGGATTACAGGTGTGAGCCACTGCACCTGGCCTGGGAAACAGTTTTTGATACCGGGAAATAGAAGAGGAAAACTATAAAGTGAGGAGAGCCTCTGGAGGGAAGAAAGAAAAAAATGGAGATTCAGGGGATCAAAAATTCTGTACCCGATTTTCCCAAACAAACAAATACATATGGAGCAATTTCCAGGTTTTGCAAACACAAGGAAATAAAGACTGTCACTTCTTAGAAAGCAAAAAAAAAGCTCTCTTGTGATTTGATATGTTACTTACTTGTCCTGGCTGACCAGTGCCTGCTGTGCCTCCTGCATGGCTGTTTCTAACTTTGTAATTCTATGCTTATAAAAGGCGATGAGGAGATCTGTTTGTTTCTTCTGGAAACTCCATACCTACTAGGGAAAAACAAGCCTTTGACATACTCTCCCATAACTCCTTTCCCTTCACTTCTGGCAACAAAGGGAAAGCCATCAAATCACACTTTATTATACTGCTCATTTTCTTCTAGAATGTCTGGCCTAATAAACAACATCCCAGAACTAGAGAGCTCAGCACTTATTTCCAGGATACTAGCCTTCTAGTGTCTTTTTTTTTTTTTTTTTTTTTTTTTTGAGACAGAGTTTTGCTATTGTTGCCCAGGCTGGAGTGCAATGGTGTGATCTCAGCTCACCATAACCTCTGCCTCCCGGGTTCAAGCTATTCTCCTGCCTCAGTCTCCCGAGTAGCTGGGATTACAGGCATGTGCTACCACACCCAGCTAATTTTGTATTTTTAGTAAAGACAGGGTTTCTCCATGTTGGTCAGGCTAGTCTCAAACTCCCAACCTCAGGTGATCTGCCCACCTCAGCCTCCCAAAGTGTTGGGATTGCAGGCGTGAGCCACCACACCCGGCCCCTTCTACTATCTTAATGAGAATATTCTACCATAGCAGAATGACCCTTTAAAAACATGGTTTTGCATCCCGTGCAAGAAGAGAGATTTTTTTAAAAACTGTTTTTCGAGCTTAGAATTGGTTCTAACTTGTCAACTATTAGTTTGGATCAGCTTCCACATTCATAGCTATTACAGAGCCTTAGTGACCAATTTACTTTCCCTAAAGACACCTACACAGAGTCACCTGCAGGCTGCTTATGCTGCTATAGGAAAGGGTGGAGAGGCACAGAAAGAGATTAACTATGCTTGAATTTTTTTCTGGGCATGCACACATAATTTTATCTTTTGCCTCACTTTACCATTTGCTATACTGATGTGTCTATCATGGGATTGCTGAATCAGATGAAAAGTTAATATTTAGAAAGTGTTTTAGCTTTGTCAGGCTCTACTTTTGAGTACACAGCAGTATTTATGTCTCATCTGCTTCCTCCCTGTTCAGACTATAAACCCTCTTTTGTCTAGGGTCCTTTCCTAGATCTTGGTACTCTTCTCATAAACTTTTTGTTCTCACTCAATTTTCAAATTGCTCTTGCCACCTTACTAAAGAATTGTACTTAAGAGTTTCCGTTCTACTTAAAGGTAAACTAAACTAGTTCTAGATAGATAAGAATTTACTCTAGTCTATTTTTTTTAAACCCTCATTTTTAATAAAACTAATATGTTTATTTTAAGCTGTGAAAAGAAAATGTTTATTTTAAGCCAGGCATGGTGATCACGCCTATAATCTCAGAGACTCGGGAAGCCAAGGCTAAGACAGGAGGATTGCTTAAGGATAGGAATTTGAGACCAGCCTAAGCAACATAGCAAGACCTTGTCTCTACAAAAAAATAATTTCATTTATTAATTTAATTTAATTTAATTTTTTTTTGAGACTGAGTCTCACTCTGTCACCAAGGCTAGAGTGCAGTGGCGTGATCTCAGCTCACTGCAACCTCCGCCACCCAGGTTCAAGCGATTATTCTCCCTCAGCCTCCTGAGTAAGCTGGGACTACAGGTGCCTGCCACCATGCCTGGCTAATATATGTACTTTTAATGGAGATGGGGTTTCACCATGTTGGTCAGGATGGTCTCGAACTCCTGACCTCTTGATCCACCCACCTCGGCCTCCCAAAGTGCTGGGATTACAGGCGTGAGCCACTGTGCCCAGCCAAAAAATAATTTTAAAAATTTAGGAGGGCGCGATGGTACATGCCTGTAATCTCAACTACTTGAGAGGCTGAAGTGGGTGGATTGCTTGAACCCAGGAGTTCGAGGCTGCAGGGAGCCATGATTGTGCCTCTGCACTGCAGTCTGGGCAACAGAGCAAGAGCCCAACTTAAAAAAATTATTTTAGAAAATTTGAATAGTGGAGGCCAGGTGTGGTGGCTCATGCCTGTAATCCCAGCACTTTGGGAGACCAAGGTGGGCAGATCACTTGAGGTCAGGAGTTTGAGACCAGCCTGGTCAATATGGCGAAACCCCGTCTCTACTAAAAATGCAAAAATTAGCCAGGCACGGTGGTGTGCACCTGAAATTCCAGCTAATGGAGAGGCTGAGGCAGGAGAATCACTTGAACCCAGAAGGTGGAGGTTGCAGTGAGCCAAGATCGTGCCACTGCACTCCAGCCTGGGCAACAGAGTGAGACCCCATCTCAAAAAAAAAAAAAAAAAAATTGAACAGTGGAGAAGCAAAATAAAAGTTACTCTGAATCCTGGGAATTACCTAAAATGGCAGGGGTAGGGGTGAGAAGCAACAGAGATAAAGCTATATAATAGACAGCCAAATCACAGTGTTAGTATCCCAAATATCCTAATCCTACCCTTGGGGATAGTTGGAAGTAAAATTAAGTCAAAATCAGGCTAGCATCAAGAAAAGCCAAATCCTACCCTAGATTAGTTAGCCCTCCGTTTAACATTACCAAGGGTCATAAGTGCATAAACAGACCCCACTGTGGAACTCCAGGGAGCCAGACTGGATTATGGGAAGGTCTTTTTATTTTTATTTTTATTTTTTTTGAGACGGATTCTTGCTCTGTCGCCCAGGCTGGAGTGCAGTGGCCGGATCTCAGCTCACTGCAAGCTCCGCCTCCCGGGTTTACGCCATTCTCCTGCCTCAGCCTCCAGAGTAGCTGGGACTACAGGCGCCCGCAACCTCGCCTGGCTAGTTTTTTGTATTTTTTAGTAGACGGGGTTTCACCGGGTTAGCCAAGATGGTCTCAATCTCCTGACCTCGTGATCCGCCCGTCTTGGCCTCCCAAAGTGCTGGGATTACAGGCTTGAGCCACCGCGCCCGGCCCCCGGGAAGGTCTTTTGCCAGGCCTAAGCAGACCTACTTTATCTACTTGTCCCAAAAAACTGATCATTCCAAGAAGAAGAAAGACCAGTCCAGAAAACAACCAGCAAGGAGTATTAAAGAAGAAGAAGTGATTTTACCTGATACCAGGGTACAAATGTTTAGCCTATATCAAACACATTCACTGAAGAAGATTCTAAAATCTAACTCAGTAATGTACCTCAGTACAGTACTTAAAAAAATTACCAATAGTTAGCAATCCTTCAAATCCCTCAGCCTCATGAAAAGGTTGGTCTCTTTCCTTTCTCCAAAGAAGATTAACTTTTGCTTGCTCACTTGCTTTTTTAAAAATTTAAAAAATTTTTTTAGAAATGATAGCTTGCTATATTGCCCAGACCGGTCTTGAACTCCTGGTCTCAAACAATCCTCCTGCCTTGGCCTCCCAATCACTTACTTTTTCTTAAAGGTGGGATTATTTTGTTAATACAGTAACACAGAGCTGATAATAATAAAAGTAGTTCTATTGATGATAACACTTAACATTGTCTGGATAATTCAAGTGTTAAATATTGTTTTATTGGAACGTTGATACCAACATTTTATTGGTATGAAACTGTCTACTTCTATACCCTGATTCCTTTCCTTTATCTCCATAATAGGACCAGGTAAGGATATAATGGTCTTCACGCTCTAGATTCCTACCATTTTACTATTGATAACGTGTCAAAATACAAAATTACAACAAATTTAGTTTTTTTTTTCTTTCTTTTTTTTTGAGACGGAGTTTCGCTCTTGTTGCCCAGGCTGGAGTGCAATGGCGTGATCTTGGCTCACAGCAACCTCCAACTGCCGGGTTCAAGCCATTCTCCTGCCTAAGGCTCCAGAGTAGCTGGGATTACAGGCATGCACCACCACACCTGGCTAATTTTGTATTTTTAGTAGAGACGTGGTTTCTCCATGTTGGTCAGGCTGGTCTTGAACTCCGGACCTCAGGTGATCCGCCTGCCTCGGCCTCCCAAAGTGCTGGGATTACAGGCATGAGCCACCATGCCCAGCTAGTTTAAAGATTTTAACTGGCTTCGATTTGCAATTCTAGACTTGAGCAACACATTGTTCTAAAAAACAGAATGAGTGTTCTGATTAACTGAGAAGACAAGTTGGCTTTTTAGGCAGAAAAGGGCTGAAGAAAGCAGAAACAGAGAACAAAAAGTGCATGGGTTGGTTCAAAGTTACTCTCCTTGTAAAGGTTAAAGCAGAGGGGACTTCTTTATTATGCCAGCTAAAATTGGCCTGTTTGGAGATTTACCTATTACCTCTCTGTCTCCTGATTTCTTGGAAGATCAGATGAACTGTCAGCATGAGTAATTCCATTTTGGTTTGGACTGCTGGACCTAGTGCAGAAACTCAATCCAAACCAACAGCCTTGTATAAACTTTATTTTATATATGAAACATAATTTTTATTTTATATGCTTGAGAGAGTATATTAAAACTTCAGTTCTGAATTAAGTCCAACAAAAGGGTAGAAAGAGTAAAGGAGAAATAACTGAAAAATACTGAGAGAGGCACAGTAATGGAAGCAAAGGGGGAGCTTAGTAGGTTTACTATAATAAGACGTTTTGGTCCAATGTGGGTTATTATAAACAAAACATTCCTGTTTGTTTATAAAAGTAGGCCAGGTGCAGTGGCTCATGCCTGTAATCTTACCACTTTGGGAAGCCAAGGTGGGCAGATCACTTGAACTCAGGAGTTTGAGACCAGCCTGGGCAACATGGCAAAACGCTATCTCTACCAAAAGCACACACATACAAAAAAGTAATATATGCTTTGGAAATGAATATCAGTTTGATTATCATTTTTGTACTAAAGAAGGACCTTCCCAGTTCTTATTTTTATTTATTTTTATTTTGATAGAGATGGGGTCCTGCTGTGTTTCCCAAACTGGTCTCAAACTTCTGGCCTCAGGTCATCCTCCAAGTGCTGGAACTACTGGAATTGAGCCACCATGCCCAGTCTTAGTTCTTTTTTTTTTTTTTTTTTTTTGAGATAGAGTTTTGCCCTTTCAACCAGGCTAGAGTGCAGGGGTTTGTTCACAGTTCACTGTAGGCTCAACCTCCCAGGCTCAAGTGATCTTCCCACTTGAGCCTCCCGAGTAGCTGGGACAACAGGTGCATGCCACCATACCCCTC